AGTTATGCTCAATTTGACCGTTTTACAATAAAACTAATGTACACCCGTTGTACACATAAAGTAGAACATTAATAAATAAAAATAAAACTAAAAAAAGGGGTGAAGTAAACAAATTTACAGATGGAGAAGACACAAGGGAGAATTAATAGCCCAGCGCAAAAGCTAGGTTATATTACAAACCGTTACCAATTGTCAATAAAAAGGAATAGTCCGGTTGGGTTAAAACTTGAGGTCATATACTTCAATTAATCAATGTGATTAAACTTTACTCGAACTTGCACATAACACATGTGCTAATATAATAATGTTAATCTGTTAGATTTTACAGTGAAAATTTAGGATAAATTTTTTTAAAGTTTGCACATAAATTTCGTGCAGTGAGCTTCGGCAATAATGGAAGTAGCTTCTGGTAATTTGGTATATATCCAGCCAGTAATCGTTGATGATTTAAGAATATATAATGCATGTGGAGTAAACGCTAGTCTTCTTGTGGAATGTGGATAATTAAAGTTAGACTGACCCGTTGACGATTCAAGAATATAATATGTAGTCTTCTTGTGGAAATTCAAAGTTAGACCGACCAATTAATAACCTTTTAGACCTATAGTAGGTGTGCTTTACAATCGAGTGAAAGATATAATGTTGTAACTTTAATAATTCAAGGGTATACTAGTATAAGTTCTAGTTTCTCAATTGAGATTCTGAATTTGTTTTTAAAATGACATTTTTGTAATTATTTAGATATTGTAGCGAATTCCTTTGCTGATTGAGTGAGAAAATAACATGTGATGAGATAACAGAAGTTTTTCCTTCATTATCTCCGTCATCTTCATCCTTTTATGCATCTTCCTTCTTTATTCCTTTTTCATCAACAATGGTGCATTCATCCCAAGTCGCCACCAACAAACAAACACCATCCTCAACACCTGTACACCGATAACACCGCAACAAATCCCTATCCCAACACATCGATTTCGGCGGCAAAGTTAACGAAAAATCTTAAGAAAAAATATGTAAATTAAGGGCATAGTTAACCTAAATGGTAGGTATTTGTCATTATTTGTGAGTCATTTCTTCATTATTGTAGAAAATTTTGACCTCCATTAGGGAAGAATTCTCAAACTTCATTGTTGAAGAGAGATGGGTATGTTATTTGTGGGTTACCGTTGTTAAGCTTCCATGACCAAAAAGACGAATATACCCAATTGAGAAACATACAAGTTTCGATCTCATGTTAAGAAATTTGTATTTTCTCAAAAACTTAAAAAAAATAAATAATAATAGAGATAAGAGGGAATATGAAATAGTTATATCTACGGGTGTTAGTTGAGCATAGCAACTCGCGAACAACTCGAAGTCAACTCGATCAAAACTCGACTCGAATTAGTTCGTGCTCGTTCGAATCAGCTCAAATCTCGATAAGTGTACAATAATTTCAATAATTTTATGTATTCCCATCTTTAAAAATTAAAATTTACCTTGACATTTAATAAATTTGAAATAATACTCCTCCATATTTTATTACTTGTTCCACTTTTCTGTTGCGACCGTATTTCATTTCTTTCTCCACTTCTTTTTTGAAACCTTTTACAATATTTCTCTTATATCTTTTTCTTAGTGGACCCCGCAACTATCATACTTTAATAACTTCAATATTTCTATATTCTCTCTCCACCTAATTAACTATCATATCATAGTTTTTATTTTTCTACCAACCCCACTTTCTTTATATTTTATTATTTTATACTATTTCTCTAAAATTTCGCGCATGGAGAAATTAAGCAAATAATAAAATACGGAAGGAATACACTTTAGTAGTAAAATTATATATAAAGAAAAGAAAATATTAATCAACAAATGTTTGAAATTCAAGAGATAAACCTTTAACAAGCTGCTCGTGATCGACTCAACTCGACTCGGAACTTAACGAGCATGAAGTGAGCAACCCTCAGCTCGTGATCGGCTCGCTTGATTAGCACCCGTTGTTATATCACTATAGTCTGAGACCAAATTAGATTATTTTTATTGTGTAACGTTAAAATAAATTAAAGATACTAATAATAGTCAAACACAAATTAAAGTAACAAAATGAGAAAAAAATTGTGCGAAATTTTTTTTTGTTTATTTATACAATAATGAAAGTGCATCTAATTTATTTGTTGGTTTATGTAAGGTTCTGTTCTACACCTCATTTTTGATGAATTGAAATTATCTTTACTGTATTTCTATTATATTTCTATTTTAGAGGTACTAATTTTTACTAAATTAAAATTATTTTTACAAAATTGAATTTATTTTTGCCAAATATTATTTTTTTAAGGTGAACTGAACAATTTTTCAAAAAAAAAAAAAAAGACTGAACATGGCCTAAATAGTGTAGGGGCACTAAATTTAAAGATTATTTAGGAAAGTTTAGTAGATTAAAAGGTATAAAATAGGAGTATGTAGGTAATTATACAAAAATTAAAAATTAAAACAAACACTGAATTTGGTATTATATTTAAGTCAATTATGGGATGGAGTACATGCATTTAATTATGGGATGGAGAGAGTAAATTTAAATATTAGTATTATATTTTCTCCTCTCATTGTCTTCACTCAAACCCACTATTTTTTTTTATTATTATTTCTTTCTCTCGTATTCTGTTTTACTTTTCAATAAACTATTAACCCCACTATTTTTGTTTTATAATTTTTCAATTCTCCAACTACCCACTTACATTTTTTTTTTTATTTAAGTCAATTAAAACTCGCAGAGGGAGTAAATATTTTGAACCCTTAAAAATTGTTAACAGAGAAAGATCGATTATAATTGATCATGTAAAATTACACAATCTTTTGAACAATAAGCTAATAAGATGGTACATAATACTTGAATATTTGAAGTGATGCTTAATACAATCTAATTAACAAAAGTACTACATTATTGATGAGTCATCACTAGTCAGTAAAAACAATAAACATGAGTGGTGTAGAAATTTATACGAAATTACACATTAAAGTTAAATTTAAACCAACGATAAATTAAAAGTTACCCTTTAATTGGTAAAAGTTACCATAAAAATAGTTAAAGTTATACTCAAACTGACCGTTTTATAATAAAATTAATGTACACCCGTTGTACACAAGACTATTCCTTACGAAGGATTTCGTACTTAAAAATGTATGGTTTGCAATTATGCATTTATGTTGGAATTAGTCAAATTGAGAATAAGACACATATTCTGTTTGATTAGTATCCAGGAAGTTGCAGCGAAACATTGTAAATAATCTTTTTCGAAAGCGCATATCAAACATGCATTATGAGTTTATGATACGAAGTATACAACTTTTTATAAGTTTTGACAACTATTAAAATTGTGATGTAAAAGGTCAAAATTTAAGTCCATTGATAAAACTTTTGTTGCCTCAAATCAATCTACTTTATTTGTTCTATTTTTGACTAACCCCTTTATTTCACGCCTTTCACCAAATAATGTTTTACGCAATTTCACCCACTCATATTTTATTTTATCGACCTTTTTTTTACATATCGGCATGTGTTATTATTCAATTAATTAATCTAATTATTTTTATAGACTACTTAACATTATTGTTAGAGATATGAGAATCATATGGAAAATATATGTGTGATATATTTTTCATATTTTCCATATTATTTAGTGAATATATCTCTGTGATTTATAGTTATGATTTTATATCTTTTAGCAATAATGTTTCCTATCTTATGATCTTAGGTTTGTATAAATAATCTACGCTGAATAATAATCAAACCATTGTATTATATCTTTCACCCAAATTTGTCAATTATTGACCAAAACCTTGTACACAAAAGAGTCAAGACTGATTAGAAAGCATTGACTATTCAAGGATATGAAATAATTAAGTAATTGATAGTCCTAGCTCGTGGAAAAGTAAGCTTAAACGTATACCATTTATTCATTTAATAATAGCGTTTGATATCTAGATCATCTGGTGGCTAGTAGTACTCATTCGTAAAAAAAAGACCTGGTCTAATTTGTATAATATGCATCATTATTGAAAGATATTTTAATGAAAAAGAAGTTACTATAATGCCATAATTTGTAGTAAAATGTAAAAAAGACCAATGACCAGTATTTTAGTACCAATTGGATCTGATTGAAAGCCTTATATGTATGATGGTATAGCGTATATGTAATTATGTTTGACATGGTTGTAATGGTACATTCTTGTGGTGGTTGTTTAAACAACTATCAAGACACTTGATCGGAAGTGATCAATTAACCTTCGAAAGAGGGAAAACGACCGCTAGCTTCATGAGAAAACGTCTACCTAATATAAGTCAGCAATTCATTGATAGAAAAATAACTATATATTTTGCAGAAAATTCAAGTTGTAATATATATATAGTTCATAATAATGGTCTCAATATTTTTATTATTGACAAGATAATATGACTACTTATATAACAGTGATGTCAATTTAAGGTGAAATAGCAAGCAATCGATGTATGCATTTCATATCAAGGCCAAAAGAAGTGAAAATCATCTAGATAAACATATTAACCAGTGGTTCATGGAGGCGGATGTACCATGCGCATGGTACATCCGTTCTAAAAAAAGCGGAAAAAACATTGTATAGAAATGTAAAGAACATTTAGTTTAAGTGAAGTGAACATTTAATTAAAGTGAAAAGAACGTGTTATAGCATATTAAGGAACATATATCAAAAGTAAAAATAATTTTTTGTTAAAATGTAATGAACGTGATAAAAGAACATAAGAGATACAAAAAAATAACATAGAGCTATTAATAACAATGAACATGACACTATTTTATAAAGAACACACTGTTAATTAATCTTCTTTATCTCCGTGTTATTTGATTGTCAGTGTAATGTATTTTTATTTGTGACATAATGTTCATTGTTTACTGTGAAATGTTCTTTAAATTTTGTCTTTAGATCATGGTAGGTGACTATAAATAATGTTCATTACATAATGTTATCATATTCTTTATTAATATTATGGATAGATATACAAAAAGAACATAAAGCTGGATATTCTTTGTAAAACAGCTATATGTTCTTTACAAAACAACTATATGTTCTTTATAAAACAACTATATGCTCATTCCGCCTTTGTAAATTCGGATGTACCATGCTTGATACAGTTGCCTCCATAAAGAAAATTTAAATAAACATATGTTTACAGTAGTATATATATAGTACACTAATATGTCGAAATTTGTTGTACATAAAACATCTATGTACAAGTGAATATTTTATACTGGTGGACGGTATCTAGGGCAACAACGTCTAACTCATCCTATCACCAGCCGTACTATTTGCTTGATCAACTTGTATAATAGACGAATGACATGCCCGAGGACGAGTAGTCCTAGCAAGAATATCCAAGTAGTAGCACTCGCAATAATTATCGTTATTAGAACTTCAGTATTGCCTGACATCAGAGTTATAAAGGACTTACGGCTCTCAGGGTTGCTGATGTAAATAGAGACGATGTAGGTCACGGTTGTTGATGTAACCGCGATCCACATGGTGAACATCAAAAGTCCCATGACGAGTCTCATACAAGGGAGTCCACTTATAAGAAGAACTATGACAGTTAAAGATGAGACTAGTCCTATTGTGTTGGAGACGAGGAATGCATCGTATAGGCTACTCTCGATACCTGCCATTATCGAAGTACCTGCCGTATGACCATTTTCGTTATCTTGCCATACGCCTCCAGGAGGGTTGATTCCGGCTTGGAAAGCCATAGTGGCTATCAGTGAAGACACCAACATAAGGGAAGTACGTTGCTTATCTATCCAATCGCTAATGCTTTTTTTAGGTTTCAGCAATTTTTTTGCCTTTAACACTTTGGCGCGCCTTAAGGCTAACCAAATACCGCCATCACGAGGGTCTTTCTTACTTTGGATGTACATGTCCATTGCTGTTAAGCCATTAGTGTTGATTGCGTTTTTCTCCATCCTCTTTTCCTTCAGTAAGAGCTCCATAGTCTACACATTTTATATGTTAGTCAAAAGTGCAAAGTTTATGTTAGGCATAGGTATTGCAGTTTTTATATATAGAAGACTTGAACTAAGATCGATGCTTATCTTCACTCCAATTTGTACTCCGTATGGAACTGAAATAATTTTTACATATTAAACTAGATAATTCTAATGTAGTCTTAAGACATTTTACTAATATAATTTTTTAAATTGGACGGCTGAAATTAATTTTTTTTTATTTATTCTAGTAATTTTAATTAAAAATAATTTTTTAATTATTTTAAATATGTTTTTATCTTCCAAAAATTATTTTTTACATTTTGGAATTTTGGAAAATAAAAAAATATTAAATAATTAAAAAAAATATTTTTTAATTAAAATTATTGATTAAAAATAAATCAAAAAACAAATAATTTCAGCTGTCTATTTTAAAAAAACTCTGATAATCAAAAGTCATAAGACTACATTAGAATTTTCAATAATAAACTTGTTTTAAAATGAGCTAATTAATTAAATTGATTTTTTATAGGATTTTTTTTTTGTTAGAAGCTACTTAATTAAACACATATTTTGTGAAAAACTGCTACCTAATTAATAAAAAAAAATATTGTAACAAATTACCTAATAAAAGGTAAAATGTTGTTAAAAAAACAATCTCAGCTCATAAAAGGTAATATGTTGTAAAATACTACCTATGTCAGATTTCCACCATTGATTAACCTTAAAAAAAAACCCCCAAATCCACCACTTTTATCCCTAGCCCAAAACCCACACAACCTACTTGAAATAGCCTGCACCACGCCAAAACCACCCTCTAACCCCAAAACCACCACTTCTAACCCCAAAAACCACCATCCCGAAACATGAAAAAATGGAATATCCTCAAACCATATCGAAAATAACCTTACCATTTGAAAACCAACCACCGCCGTGGTTTCGAGGGTGTTTTGAGGTGGGCGATGCCGTAAAATTAGGTTAATGGCGGAAATTCATCCAAAGGTAGTATCTTACAACATTTTACTTTTTATTAGGTAGTTTCTTACAACATTTTTTTTATTATGTATTTTCTCACAAAATTTAGGTTTTATTACGTAGTTTCTAACAAAAAACCCTTTTTTTAAAATCATCTTCATATATCAAATTTTTAACGATTTTGCTAAAAAAATAATTAAAGATACTAATGAGCAAAATTGACCATTAGCACATGTACCAATCAAGCCGATACACTTATTTACATGCAAAATTATTCAAGACTTGTTAGATATGCTAGCCAGTTTTTACTTCCAGTCTTAGAAAACAGATATCTAGTGTGGGTTGAGATAAAGAATTTCCATGGTCGTTTTTTAAGAATAAAACAAAACGAGTATACAAAATTACAAATACAACTCATACAAATTAGTGAACACGTCATTAAGACTTATTCCTTAACTAAGGAGCTGAGGCAACCAGTTATTGGGGGAATTTGTACTATGGAAGCTGCCTTTTTCATGATAGCAAGATGGTCCCCCTACTATACATTAATATAAAATAAAATTAGATTAAAAAGTAAAAATTAAAAATTAAATTTGTACTATGGCAGCTGCCTAGTTAATGAATTCGTTACAAGCAAACAAACCATTGAAGTAACTAAAAGACAATAATGTTAGCAACAAACCGTTTTTTATGTAGTTGTTTATTTTGCACTTCCTTTAACTCTTTAAGGGTTATACTTTAATACTCTATAAGCATATATTTATCTATCAATATAATAATTATATATTAGTAAAAATTAAAAATTCTAAATGATTCATTAATAAATATGAAAAATGAAGATTTCACATGTTCTGATGTTCATGTGATCATATATGCATGCAATAATTATTTTTATTGGTGTAGATAGGGTCACACGATGCTGTAATAATATAAACAGTAGACGCAGATCTTAGGAACCATATTTTATGACTTAAGTTAGCTAAGTTACTTTATGTTTGTGATAGCGATAAATTTGATCAAACTCAAAAATACAACTGAATTGTTATTCGTCGCTCCCTTTTTACCAGGCATCGCTTCCAATTATGACTGAAATGACCATTTTGCCCTTAGGTGATTTTGTGCTACTTAAAGGTTCCCCGAGTAGTCATAACGAATCACGATCATATTAAAAAAATTATCGAGCGGTTTCACTCAAAGTTTCCTTTTCAAAATTCCCGAGTCCAAAAATCCCGAGTCCCAAAATCCCGAGTAGTCGGTTTTTTTAAAATTTTCTTCACAAAATTTTTCTGGAGGTGAATTTACCGGCTTAAGATGTGGAATGACGGCAACGATCGCACACTGGAGGCATCTTCGGAAGATTCTGTAAGTTTCGCAAAATTTTTTTTTTTTTCTGTTTTATGTAACATCCGGACAAAATTTCCGGATGATCCATGGAAGATCCGGAAATTTCATCCGGATCCTCCATGGATCATCCGGAAATTCCATCCGGAGCCACGGATCATCCGGAAATTTTGTCCGGATGATCCATGGAGGATCCGGATGAAATTTCCGGATCTTCCATGGATCATCCGGAAATTCCTTCCGAATGTTACATAAAACCGTTTTTTTTTTTCTGTTTTTTTTTAATATATTAGTGTTATTGTTGATGTTTTTGATTATTATTATTAGTAATATTTTATTATTAGTGTTGCTATTATTATTATGATTATTATTATCATTATGGTTATTATTAATTTTTTTAATTTTTTGTGCATTAATGGTTATTAGTATCGCTATTATTGTTGATATTATTGTGTTTACTATTATTGTTTTTATTATCGTTATGTTTAATTGTGTAATTGTTATGATTAATTTTGTTATTATTGTTATGGTTATTATATTAGTGTTATTGTTAATGTTTTTATTGTTTAAATTATTTTTAGTATTGTTATGATTATTGTTAACTTGTTTTTAGTATTGTTGTGTTTATTGTTAATATTATGTTTAATATTGTTACTATTATTGTCTATATTAGAATTAGAAGTAACGTGTTTGTGTTTTATGTGTGTCTTCATTTTTGTTTATAGGGTTCGGAGTACGAAGATGGTGCCGACGATGTGAATTATAGTGCGCATTTTGCCACAGACACGTTGTTTCCAACGTTTGATGAGGCAGTTAATTGGGCGAATGTTGTTGCCGTAAATCTGGGTTTTCTTTTGGTTAAATCGTCTTACAACAAAACCAGAGACGGTCGGCCGTACCGGTATTTGAGGTGTGATAGGGGCCGAAAGAGCCAGCCGAGAGATCTTGAGAATGCAATTAGGAGGGACACCAAAACCAAAGCAATTGGTTGTCCTTTCTACATCAAGATTTATTATGTCTTCGTCACCGACAGTTGGAAGATCCGGGCCAAGAATGATGCAACTGGGACCCATAACCATCCAATGATTGTCTATCCGGAGGGTCATCGTAAGATCAGTGGCTTGAGCTCGGATGCGAAGAAGGTTGTCCAGGACATGACAAAGTCCAAGGTTGCACCGCGGAACATCATGGCGACAATTGCTGAGCAATTTCCCGATGATCATCCAAACATCCGACATATCTATAACTGTCGGAATGACTTGAGAGCGGAGATGTCTGATGGGAGAGGAGTTGTTCATCAATTTCTGCATTTGGCGAGAGAGAGCCGGTATATTTACTGGGTCATGTCTGATGATGTCGGTGTTCTGCAGCATGCGTTTATGGTGCACCCGATCACGGTGAACATACTACGGACGTACCCGTATGTGATCGGCATGGCTTTGACATACAAGACCAACCGATACGGGATGCCGTTCTTTGAGATAGTCGGTGTGACACCGACAAATCAGAATTTCCTCGTCGGTTATGTGTTCATGCGCAACAAGTGCACGGGAAGCTACCGGTGGGTTCTACAGAGATTAAGAGAGTTGATTGGGTATGATAAGGAGCCGTCAGTATTTCTGACAGACCGTGAGCTTGGACTTTGTGCGGCATTGAGAGAAGAGTTTCCCGGGACGTCGCATTTGCTTTGTCGGTGGCACATTAACAAAGATGTGGAGGCTCGGGTCACTAGTATGTTCAAGAACAAGAAGATTGGGGCGCAATTCAAAAACGGTCCTTGGAAACGTATCATGGATGCCACGACTGAGGCGGATTATAACTCAGCTGTAGACAGAATGAAAACCCGGTGGGCCAGTTTTCCAAATGTGATTAGTTATGTCGAGAGAACCTGGCTTTGTCATAAGACCAAATTCGTCACATTCTGGACGAACCAGGTTCTGCACCTCGGTAACACGAGCACTTGCCGAGTTGAGAGTCAACATTCGGCCGTGAAGATGTGGTTCGAATCTTCGACAGGTATTTTGTTGGAATTTTGTAGCCGGTGTATGTACTTTGTTTTAATTCCATTTTTTTTGTAAATACCAATGGGTTTTTTATAATTAACTTCAATTGCAGGTTCTTTGGATACCGTATGGGCCCGAGTACATAGTCATATTGGCAACCAGATCATTGCCATACGTAATTCACTGGAGGCGTCAAGGTCGAAGATCGGTGAGAAGTACAGACAGTTGCCACTGTCTCGTATTAACGGCAAGGTGTCACAGCATTGTCTGAAAGTACTAGATGACGAGACAAGAAGGATGACGGAGCTGAGTTACCAGGTGCATGAACGTTGTGGATGTGCAATGCGTGTGACCCACGGTTTGCCATGCGCTTGCCAGATACATGACTCGTTGGTTGCGCAAACAGGCTTGTATAGAAGGCAAATTCATCCGTTCTGGAAGACCTTGGTCATCGGCGACGGTGTTAATGTACCGGAGTTCGTGAACGATTGTAACGAGGATGCTGCACATTTCCGTTCCTTGGTTGATGAGGTCGTTGCTAGTGATCCTGCTGTACTTCGAAATGTATCTCGCATTATTGAGGAGGAGCTGCATCCGGATCATTCAAACCTCGAAGAACCGCAAGTGAATCACAACGTTCGAGGTCGCCGAAGGAACAACGATACTAGACGACATCACAGTTACTTCGAACATGTGGACCGTCGATACACTGAACGTCGTACGCAGCAAACAGGTACGACTTGCTATTGGTTTTTGTGATTTACACGTATTTTAACTTCTTCCGTACTCATAAAGAAAACATAAAATGTGCAGTGACAGAAGATCAAGGTGACATCCGCCAATGCCGATATTTGCACTTGCTCCCAGGACCGATGTTGCCTTACATCACGGGTTGGAAGGACGTCATTGGCGATGGTAACTGCGGATTTCGTTGTGTGGCCGACTTCTTCCTCGGAGATCAAGGGAATTGGTATGACGCTCGGGAAATACTAGCGAACGAGGTCGCCGCTCACCCCTTCTTGTACGAAAGGATATACGGGATAGGAAGGGTGTGGCTGAATGTGGATCGCATTCGATGGGATGGTGGGGCTGTTGATTCACGGCACTGGATGGTTGCTATTCAAGATTTATTTCCCATTGCTACTTGGTTCAACGCAGTGGTTATAATTCTTGGTGTAGGTAACGACCCGACCTGCTATTACCCTTGTCTCACCATCTTACCGCTGCGGGCACGAGCCGGGGTCAGAGCACCAACCCGGGAATTTGTCATCGCTACAGTTGGGGGGTCACATTTCATCTGCATTGATCTAGTCGACAATTCACCTCTTCCTCCGATCGCAGGATGGTGGACAGAGAACCGCGAGCCAAGTGTCGGTGGATGGGATCAGCTGTATATCGCTAGAAGGAACATGTGGGATGCATTAGTTGCCCAGTGAACATTATTAAGGTAATTAGGTTGAACATATTTATGTAATTAGGTTGAATAGATATATGTAATTAGGCTGAACATATTTATGTAATTAGGTTGAAAGACGAACTTATGTAATTAGATTGAACACATACATGTAATTAGGTTGAATACATAAATGTAATTAGGATGAACTTATTTATGTTATTACGTTGGAAGACGAATTTATGTAATTACGCTGATCAGATTTATGTAATTTAGGTTGAACAGTTCTACGGATATAATATAAGGAAATCAATCAAATTAATGATACAAAGTTGAAACAAAACTCGAAATTACATTATTTTTATTTACAAAACAAAGTTTCAGATGGACTAGCTAATGGTAAACAAAAACAGAAGTGGATCACAGCCCCATCCTCGCCTGCCAGTCCAAAATCAGCTGCTCAGTCATCCCCCTCGTGTCAGGCGACATGCTGGGATACTCCGCCAGTGCCCTACGGTGAATCTCCAAGGAACGACCCATCCACTGCAAATAAGAGAACAACACATTAGTTACATAATTCACAATTAGTGTACATGAAAGTTAAAGTATAAATAAAACACAAGTGCTTACGTAGTCCGTGTTAGTCCTCTCTGGAAGTCTGTCCCCAGCTGAAGACCCAACCGGAGAAATACGAGGATGCGAAAATCGGTAGAGCCACTGCATGTAACCAGGACCGACCGTAGGAGCTCCACCGCCGAGTCGGGTAAGGGCACCGGGAACAACACTGAACGACGATCCAGGGACAAACCGAGTCCACATCACTGATGTCATCTCAGTCGGGAACTCTACCCGATACATCTTCAAGTTCGTCGGCCTCTTAGCCTTCTCAGGCCTGATAATGGTCCCCGGAATGTCCTGCACGAATCCCAGCTGACGAACGACTCGATCAGGCATGTATGGCTCAATGATACCTCGATACTGGATGCAGCCGATGAATAAAGTGGCTGGCACGTGACGTGCCGGATCAATCCCGTACGGGAGCCAGTTAACCTCATTATCGGTCAGCTGATCCAATCTAGATCTAAATGCGAGGAGGCGCTCTATGCTCTTGTTGGGGCATCCCGATCCCACATCCCAAGCTGAGGCACGCGGAACACTAAGCTCCCTAGTCAAGGTACCCTGCTGAGGCCGGAAGCATGGAAAATACTCATAGATCCACGCCTGCAGAAGTGTGAGACAACCAGCGATAGAATCGGCATCTTTCCTAGATGCCGTACCCAACTGCCGATACAAATACGCTAGAACAGCTGAACCCCAAGAGTACTCATCGATCGGCAGATCATCCACAACAAGCTCGCTGAGGAAGGACGGATGAGTACGGTTACCACTCTTGTCCAGAAACAGACATCCGCCCAACACTAACCACAGGTAGGCACTGTAATAGACATTAAAAGGCCTCTGCGACTCCAGGGTCGACTCCGCAATCCTCTCCGTCAGCACCCCACTCCCCTGCCAGATGGTCTTGGTACCGCTCTTCTCATTCAGCTCCTCTGCAGTCAAGTCCATGGTGATCGAGCATGCGTCCCGTAGGGTGTCCGTGCTGGGAGTAGCGGACACCATGCTACCATCTATACGAAGCCCTAGTATGTAGTACACATCATGCAGCATGATCGTAATCTCCCCAAATGGCATATGGAACGTGTTCGTATCTGGCTGCCATCTCTCAACAAAAGCTGAAATCAGCGGCCAATCCAAACGCCTGAACATGATCCCAGGTAAGTGAGACAGACCGCTACTGTCAATCAACTCCAGATGCTCCTGTGCAAGACGACCTCGCCAGGCGACCAACTCAGAACACAATTGCATCCTGCCCAAACAACGCAAAACATTACGCTCCTGCCCGCCCCATATATACGCAGCCACGTGCCCCCCAAAGCTAGGGATAACGGTCCCATCCTCAGGACCTCCTGGCATCGCCTCCTGCACTACCCATGCCTCTGATGTGCTGGTGGAGGGGTGATTGGTTTGACTACTGCTGACAAATCTCCCAGTCTGACCCCGTTGCACCGTATGATAATAACGAGGGTCATACTCTTGATCGCGGGAAGCCTGACTTGCCTCGTCGTCCTCATCGTCAGATGAAGGTGAAGGCACTCCACCCGACGAGTACATGGGGATGCTACGTTCTGGCTGCTGCTCCCCCGACCAGTTACCAGCATACCCATACTGCTGCTGGTGATCGAACGGTTCGGCCGTATTTCCTAAACGGCCTGACTCCCGCCTAACTGAGGCATTCAAACGCCTAGATATTGCGTGACGAGTTCCCGAACCCTCAATCTATGTTAAGTACGTACATAATAAAAAAAAACATAAACAAAAATAAATTTTTCCAAGCAAAACCACAAAAACAAACCAAAAAACATAAACAAAAAAAACAATAAAAATCACAAACAAATAAAAAAAACAAATAACAAGTATAAACAAATTACACGAACAACAATAAAACCTCACTAACATAATAACAACAGAATAAAAAAAAAAACTCAATACAAAAAAAAAACATCACAAACTAATATACAAAAATTAAGAAACATAAATGAATAACAGAAAAAAAAAAAAAAAAAAAAAAAAAAAAAAAACCTCACAAACATAGAAACAAAAGGATAGAAATAACTCGACAAAAAAAAACATCTCAAACAAATTAAAAACAATAAACAAAGATAAACAATTTAAAAAATTAAGAAATAAAAAATAATTAAAAAAAAAAATTACAAAATAAAAACTAAACAAAAACATACTAATATAATTACAACAACAACAACAAAGACAAACAACAACGACAAAACAACAACAACAA